CCCCCCCCCCCCCCACCAACCATGCCCGAAGCTGACGAGAGAGAAGATGACCAGCGCCGACCAGCACGCAGAGAGGATAAACTCGGACTCTCCATGCAATGCCCGTGCAAGTGTTCCCCAATGATACTGATACTGGTCGCCCAGTCGTTACACGCCCCTGCAGCACACCATCCACTCTCCCAACACCCCATTGTACCCCAAAGAAGGAAGTGCTGATACGATGTTGCCCGAGCAACAATCGAAGGCGCCCGAAGGAGGAACGGCGAAAGAGGTCAGGAGAAAACAAAAGAAAACCCTCGTTCCGACAGTCGCCGGTGTAAGCACGTGGTCGTGCGTTATTCATTAAGAACTAGTGATTAAGAAATCCTTGTAAATATCCCGATTGGAGCGAGAGGCTCCGTATCAAGACTTGGAAGTTGTGGCCTGGAGATTGCCCGTGCCGAAGAGCCCTGGGAAGGAACGGAGGCTCCAGTTAATTAATTATTCCGGCGGAAGACCTGACCAGCGCGCCAGTATTCTTCAATAGTATTTGGCAGTTGCCATGAGTACCAGATACCTTTCCCATTTATAACTTTTCTAAATCTTTCCCCCCAATGGCGCGCCCACACATTTAAGCATGTCTCAACTGATAATCGATTTCAGAGAGCAGTGTATTAAGTTGATTGGTTATTTTTTCCCCTAGACACGACTAGCTTCTCCCTTTTTGCATTTCGCATTTTGCATTTCGCGATCTCATAATATATGGTAAAAAGCACTTCATCGCACGTAGTTTTTCAATCATATATTGTCTGTTTGTTTCATATTTTGAACACTGCCAGAAAACGTGATTATATTAATGATTTGTTCTATGCATTGTTTTAGCAATGGCAATCTTTTCGTTTGAGAAGTATTCCTGTGGTGGACATGCGCAATTCTTTTTTGTATCAGTAGGCTCTCATTGGGTAGAATTTTGACGAGATAACTTTTTCCAAGTAGTAGGAATCTGTCCTTTACTGTTGTTAATTTCGATTCAGCCAATAAGATGTTCGTCGGAGTGCTATTTCTGTACTCAAGAGCATCTCTAATGGCTGCAAGTTGTATGGTTTCAAATTTATTGGCTATGGCTTTCTGTTTTGGGCAATAAATGAATGAGCCATCCATCATTGACCTGATGTAACTTTTATATATGTACATGAGGGTCTCCGGGTCGGCTCCCCATCCCGTACCTTTCAGAAATTTTATCATGTTCATGGTT